GACGCCGGCAAGCGGCCCCTAAGGACCGGCCCTAGACGCAGTCCGCGCCCGTGGGCGAGCACCCGCAGAAGCCCAGCGACGGGCAGAGCTCGCCCGGCGGCACGAGCGCGGCGATGCGCTCGAACGCGGCGACGGCCGCGGGGTCGCCGTCGCCGCGGCGCCGCGCCTTGAGCCAGGCGGACTTGAGGCCCCGGAGCTTGGCGGCGAGGGGCAGCCGCAGGATGTCGACGTCGACGGCCGCGTCGACGGCGACGGGCGCGCCGAGGCACGACGCCGCGAGGCCCTCGAGGAAGCCGCCGCCGTCGCGGAACTCCCAGGTCCGGAACGCGTCGCTCGCGGGCTTGCCCCGGTCCGCGAGGGCGTGGCGCGCCGCCAGCGCCGCCGCCGTGAGGTTGCGGAGCGCGAGGACGCGCGCGGGGCAGGCCGGCCCCCGGAGCGGCGCCTGCGCGGGGAAACGGGGCGCGAACGTCCCAACGTCTCTCGGCCGCTTTCCGCTCGTTTCGGCTCATGTTGGCACGAGCGATCATCGCTCTCTCGACGCGCGGATCCTCGCTCCGGGACGATCGCGCGCGGAACGTCGAAGCGAGCTCGAATCCCGCCCGGGGCGGCGCGAGGCACGGCGCGAGGCGCGCGGCCGCGGACCGCGGCAGGTCGACGACGGCGTCGCGGAAGCGCCCGTCGACGTAGACGCGGTGGTCGCCGTGGCGCAGGCCCGACGCGCCGAGGCGCGCGTCGGGCCGCACCTGCGCCCGGTGAACGCGTCCGACCGGTCTCGCTCGGTCGCGTCGCCGTGCGCTCTCGGCCGACGCGCGGACGCGTCGCGCGCTCTCGGCGAGGTCATGTTCTCACAAAGGTGTGTTCGCATGTCGAAGTCGCGCGGGCCGTCGTCGCTTTCCCGCGCGGCGCTCGCGCCCGGAGCACGCGGTCGTACTGTCGGCCGCGCGTCGCCTCCGCCGCCGCGACGAGGTCGACGCAGGCCGCGAGCTTGAACCACTGGTCCAGCGCGGGGAGCAGGCCGCTGCAGTTCTCCATGGGCCGCGGGCCGGCGGCCCAGGCCGCGGGCCGGAGCGCCGCCGCCGCCGCCGCGAGGCCCGGCGGGTCCGGCGGCGACGTCCGCGCGCCCTTGACCGTGTCGCCGGGCCCGTCGTCGACGACGCCGAAGACGTCGTAGTCGCCGCCGAGGCCCGCCGCGAACGCCGCCGCGAGCCCGTCGTGGACGTGCCGGTGCGCGAACGTCCGCGCGAAGCCCACGACGCAGACGGCGACGCCGCCGGGCGGCGGGCCCGTCGTCGCGGCGGCGCCGGCGACCAGGACGGCGCGGGCGGCGCGCCGGCGCATCCGCGCGTCAGGCGCGATATGGCCGGGCTGGGCGCAGGCGGCGCGGGCTGCCCCGCATCACTCCGAGACTCGGTTCTTGAATGGCCGTTGACCTTCACCTTGAATTTGCAGGAACGCTCGTGACGATGGCCTCCTCGACTGGCGCCGTGCAAGCTCCGTCGATGTCGTCGGGCGCGACCACCGTGCACGCGGCGTCCCCCTGCGCGTATTGCGGCGACGAGGAGGCGCCGCTCGCCTGCGAGCGCTGCGGCGCCGCGGCCTTCTGCGACGCCTCCTGCCGGAAGCTCGGCGCGCGGGCGCACCGGGCGTCCTGCGACGCCGTCGTCGCGACGCGCGGCCAGGCGGCGGCGTGCGGCCGGTCGGCGGCGGCGGCGCGCGCGGCGGCCGCGTCCGAGGCGCGTCTCCGCGCCGCGGTCCGCGTCGAGCGCCGCGACCTCGAGCGCCGCGCGCGGGCCGCCGCGCGGCGCGCGCGCGACGCGCGCGACGACGTCCACTGCCACGCGGTCCGCGTCTCCGGCGCCGGGCCCGTCGCCGTCGCCGGGCCCGCCTTCGCGGTGTCGGACGGTACGCTGCGCGAAGTGTCGCGGCTCCTGGAGCCCCTCGCGCGCTGCGAGATCGTCGACGGCATGGTCGTCCTCGCGTTCGAGGGCGGCGACCCGGCGCCGTTCCTCCGCGCGATGGCCGGCGCGTTCCCCGGCGACGCGCCGGCGTCCGTCGCCGCGGCGCGCGCCGCCGCGCTGTCGCTCCCCGTGCCAAAATCCCTGCGCCGGCTCCTCGCCGGCGTCTGCCGCGGCGACGTCGTCGCCGACGGCGCGCGCCTCCGCGTCGCGCACGCGGCGCGGCAGGACCCCGACGACGACGAGTCCGCGGACGCCGCGCTCCGCCGGACCGTCGCGCGCCTCGGGGGCGCCGCGGAGTAAGGTTACTCGTACGCGTCGACGCGCACGCGGAGCCCGCCGTCGCCCGGCTCGAGGAGGACGTGGCCGAGCGCGCGGTCGTCGCGGCCGCGGCGGAGGTCGTCGACGACGGCGTCGAGGAAGAGCGCGGAGGCGCGGTGCTTCCGGTAGAGGAAGAAGACGGCGAGCTCCTCGTCGACGTGGAGCACGTCCCGGAGCGCGCCCGCGCCGTCGTAGAAGCGGAAGACCGGGTGGACGAGCTCGTTGACGAGCACGTCCGCGCCGTCGGCGCCGACGCGGTAGACGCGGCTGATCGCCTCGTCGTCGAGCCACGCGAGGAGCGCGGCCCGGTCCGCGAAGGCGAGGGGCCGCCGCACGGCGACGGGCGTGAGCGCGCTCCCGTGGCGCACGGCGTTGGGCCCGCGCCAGTGGCGGCCGTACTCGAAGGTCGCGCGGACGTAAAAGTCCGGCGCGAGCGCCGCGTCGACGTCCTCCGGCGCCGCGGCCACGGGCACGTCGTCGAAGCGGGCGACGGCGTCCCCCGAGAACGCGTAGAGGTCGCAGAGCACGCCGAAGCACTGGAAGGGCGCCGACGCCGACGACGCGCGCCGGAGCGCGGCCGCGCCGAAGTCGCCGACGGCGATGTCGGTCCGCGGCCAGCGCGCGCCGTGGCGGTCGCAGCGGAGCTTCGTGAGCGCGGACCTTACGAGGTAGCGGAAGCCGTGGACGAAGCCGCCCGACGACCGCCGCGCGTCGCGGCCGTGCATGAGCGCGCCGAGGAAGTAGAGGCCCGCGGCGTCGCGCGACTCGTAGAAGGGCGTCGTCGGCGGGTACTTGTCCGGGACCTCCGGCAGGACGCCCGCGAGGAAGCCGAGGTCCGACTTGAAGCCCGTGCAGTTGACGACGACGTCGAAGAAGGGCCCCGCCGCGCGCCCCGCGGACTTGAGGCCGTAGAAGCTGCAGCCGCCCGGCGGCGCGCGTTGCGGCCGCGGCGCGAGCTCGTGGTCGTGGTGCGCCTTCTCGGACGGGAGCACGCCGTTGGCGTATTTCGGCGGGAGGAGCGCGTCCATGGACTTGAGGTAGAACTGGTCGAGGAAGCCGAGGTGCCGCGACCGCACCTGCGGCGCCGCGGTCCGCGGCGGCGCCGCGCGCGCGCGCGATCGACGACGACGCCGGGCCGCGCGGCGCCCGGGTAGTGGCTCTCGTGCGCGAATTCCGGGTCGGTCCTGGGGATGACGTAGGTCTGCGCCGCGTAATCCCGGAGCAGGCCCGCGACCTCGAAGGCGCTGTTGCCGCCGCCGAGGACGCCGACGTTGAGCCCCGCGTAGGCGCCGGGGTCGCTCCCGAAATCGCCGTAGTCGACCTGCGCGGTGAGCTGCGACGTCCCGACCGACCTTTGGCGTGCTCTCGCTCGGTCGAATCGAAGTCGGTTTGGCCGCTTTTTGGACGAATCGATGGCTCGCGTCGAGTGCTCGAAGCGCGGCCGAAGAGCTTGCGTCGATTCCATCGAAGATTTTTTGTTTCCCGCCCAGTCGTCGACGTGCTTCGCCGCGGCCCACGGCAAATCCGGCGGCGCCTGTTTCGCGAGGCCCGCCGCGACGAGGACGATCTGCGCGCGTATCGTGACCTCCGCGCCGCGCGCCCCGATGCGGACGTCGAAGCCGCCGCCGGCCCGCCGGTCGACGGACAGCGCCTTCGCGCCGTACACGACGTCGAGCGCGTGCCTGGGCAGCACAAGAGTGATTCAAGTTCGCTTCAACTTGAGTGTTCCGCGCGCGCGCGTTCCGGAAAAAACATCCACGCTTCGAGACTGTTCCAAGAGATGATCGCTCGTCCAAAAATCAGCCGAAACGAGTGGAAAACGGCCGAGATAGGAGCCTTTGAAGTTGTGAATTTCGCTCTCTTTTCCTGCCCTGGCGCGTGCCGCGCCTCGAAGGCCTCGAGGTAGCGCACGAGGTCGTCCGCGGCCGGGTAGTACGCCTCGGAGAAGTCGCGCATGAGCGGCGCCCGCTCGTCGGAGAGCAGGCTGTTCCAGTCGTGGCGGAGCGCGAAGTCCGCCCGCTCCGCCTCGTCGAGCGGCGCGAGGTCCGGCAGGTGGCGCTTGTTGATGGAAATCAGTTGGCGGCCCACGGGGTACTTGCGGAAGAAGGATCCGGGCCCGTCCGCGGCGTCGACGACCGCGTGGTCCAGGCCGAACTTCTTCAGGAAGTAGGCCGCCTGCAGCCCCGCGGGGCCGGCGCCGACGACGAGGTACTCGACGGCGTCGCCGTCGGCGAGGCGCCGCCGCGCCTTTGCGGTCGGGGTCTGCGACAGCGCCTGGCCCATCGTCGGGCTGCGGACGACGGCGTCACGACGCTTCCGCCAACCCACCCATCGACATCGATGCAGCCAATGAAGTATGTGCTGCCTTTCCGCGTTTCAGCGAGCCCTCCGTCATTCGACGTGGCCACAACACGCAGCCACACAGCATTTACACGCGATGGCGCCTCCTCTGTACCTCCAGGCATGCGTCCGGCGTCCACCGCTGCGCGCCGCCTTCCTCGCAGTCGCCCGACCCCGTTTCGCCGCTCCCGCGCGCCGGGCGGCGCGTCCCTCGGCCCCCGGCGGCGCTGCAACTCCTGTTGCCCGGCGGGCCCTCGGCGCGCCCCGACCCCCGCCGGTCCGCCCGCACCGCCGCCGCCGCCGCCGCCGTCCACGCCAGCCCGCAGGTCGGCGCCGCCGGCGCCTCCGCCGTCGCGACGGTCACGCGCGGCTCCGCGCCTCGAACGTCCCCGCCGCGCGCCGTCACGCCGCGCGCCGCTCGCAGGTTCATCCACCCCATCGACGTCGTCAAGACGCGGCTGCAGGTGAGCGGCGGGGCCATCGGCGGCGTCATCGGGTCGGCCATGAAGAACGAGGGGCCCCTCGCCTTCTACAAGGGCATCAACGCGGCGTGGCTGCGCGAGGCGTCGTACACGTCGCTCCGCCTCGGCCTCTACGAGCCCATCAAGGGCGTCGTCGGCGCCAAGGACAAGGACGCCCACTTCCTCAAGAAGTTCGCCGCGGGCTGCCTCGCCGGCGCCATCGGCTCCCTCGTCGGCAACCCCTTCGACGTGCTGAAGACGCGCATGATGGCGTCGACCGAGGGCACGTCCTTCGGCGCCGAGGCCAAGAGCCTCATGGAGAGCCAGGGCGTCGCGGGCTTCTACCGGGGCATCGACGCCAACATCTCCCGCGCCATGGTCCTCAACGGCACGAAGATGGCCTGCTACGACGAGCGCGCGGCCGCGCCCGCGGCGGGGCCGCGCGCGGCGCGCGGCGCGCGACGGCCGCGCGCGCCGCAGGTGCAAGCAGGCCGTCGTCAAGGCCGGCACGTTCGGCGGGCCCAAGGACATCCTCGTCCAGGCCGTCTCCGCCTTCGGCGCGGGCTTCTTCATGACCTGCGCCGCCCCGCGCGGGACCCGAACCCTTCGCCGCGCCCCGTCTCGACGCGAGCTCGTCCGCCGCGCGTCGAGCGCTCGACGAGAGCCATCGTTGCGTCCCACCATGAGCCGCATCGACGCCGCGTCGACCGAGCTCCGAGAGAGCGCTCGAGTTCGGCGGCTCGACGGTCGAGGTCCGCGCAGGCACCGTCGCGCCCTTCGACATGGTCCGCACGAAGCTCATGAACCAGCCCCCGGACAAGATCGAGTTCACGGGCTTCGTCGACTGCTTCGTCAAGGTCGTCAAGAAGGACGGGCCGGGCGGCCTCTACCGCGGCTTCTTCCCCATCTGGGCCCGCTTCGCGCCGACGACGACGCTCCAGCTCATCTTCTTCGAGCGCTTCCGCGCGGCCCTCGGCATGGACTCCCTCTAGGGCGCCTCGCCGACGCACGCGCGCGGCGCGGCGCGCCTAGGAGTAAAAAGACAGACGACCTAGCCGGCGTCGCCCCCGTCGCTCCCGGCGCCCCCGTCGCTCCCGTCGCTCCCGTCGCTCGCGGCGCCGTCGAGGAGCAGGACGCGGTCCGCCGCGAGGATCGCCGCGGCGCCGTCGAGCCCGGCGGACGCGTCGAACGCGAGGAAGCCGCACTCGGGTACGTCGTAGGCGACCTGCGCGGACGTCGAAGCTTCGCCGCGCGCGTCTTCGACGCTTTCGAGCGCGTCGAGAGCGCGACGAGGGCGACGGAGTCGTCCACACGCGGGCCGAATCGGCGTCGACGCGACCGAGCCGTTTCGGAGCGCGGCCCCGTCCTCCCCGGCCGAGCTCCGCGCGGGCGGCGACGCGCCCCGCGAAGGCCTGCGCCGCGGCGCCGACGAGGTCGCCGTGCGTGACGACGAGGAGCCGGCCGTGGGCCGCCGCGAGCGCTCGGACCGCCGCGACCTGCGCGCGGCGCGGTCCCGGCGAGCCTTCCGAAGGTCGGCGCCGCCTCGGCCGGCGTTCGGACGCGTCGCGCGGTCCCGGCGAGCGCTCGCTCCACGGCGCGCGGGAGCGCGTCGCGTCGCGGCGGCGCGCGTCGAAGTACGGGAGGTTCGGGCCCGGGCGCTTCACGAAGCGCCGCGCGCCGTCGTCGGGCGCCTCGTCCCACGGAGGTCCGTCGCCGCCGCGGGCCGCCAGGGCCACGCCGTCGCCGAGGGCCGCCGCGACGGCGGCGTCGTCGAGGGGCTCGAGGCGGCCGCAGGCCGGCGCGTCGCGCCGCACCGCGACCATGAGCTCGCCGAGGTCGGAGGACACGCGGACGCCGGCGACGCCGAGGCCCCGCGCGACGGCGCCGGCCGTCTGCAGGCAGCGCCGGAAGGGCGACGACGCGATCGTCGCGAGGCCCAGGGGCCGCAGCGCGTCCGCCGCCGCCGCGGGCAGGGCGCCGTCGGCCAGGGGCGTGTCGTAGGGCCGGGCCTCCCGGTCGCTCCAGGACGCGCGCGGGTCCCGGTCGAGCCGCAGGCCGTGGCGCATGACGACGACGACCCGCGCGGGGCCCGCGTCGGCGTCCGCCAGGGCCGCCAGCGGGCCCGCGTCGTCAGCCGCCAGGGCCGCCAGCGTTCAAGAAGCGCTCGCGCTAGCTAGCGGGCGCATCCACCATCGCATCAGCCGAAGCTCCGATGCTCTCCCTGAGATCTTGCAATGATCTTGCCGTGCAACTACGCCAGCGCGGTCGGCGGTCCACCTCGGGACGCGTCCGACGCGCGGTGGGCCCACCGGTGGCGTCGTCGACGGCGGGGGGACGCCGCGGGCGCGGCCGTCGCGTTTGGCCGTCGACGGGCGGACCCAGGCTCGGCGCGGCCGGCGCGCCTGGCATGAGTAGACCATGCCGCTCCCTTTAAGTTACCCCCGCCTGAGGTCATAGCTTCCCCCCGGCGGGGCACACGAGCAGGGGAGGGGCGTGGTCTACTCAGGTCAGCCGGCGCGCGGCCGGGTAGACACGCATGATTATGGACAGACAGGGCAGGGGGGTCTCGAGCGCCCGCGGGGCGGCGGCGCCGCGGCCGGGGCGCGAGTCCCCCCGTGCGCTGTGGCACGAGGGCGGGCCCGGCGGCGGGCGCGGGAGCGGCGCGGCGGGGCTCGGGGGGGGGGGTCGGGGGGCGCGCGCGGGGCCCGCGCGGCGGGGCGCCGGCTCCGCGGTCCGCGGGCGGGGGCGCGCGCGGCGCGGCGCGCGCTCACTCGAGCGTGCCGAGGAGGTGCGAGTGGCCCTTGATGCGGATGCCGAGCGAGACGGCCGCGGACGCGATGATGATGAAGCCCATGGCGAGGTAGCCCTCGTCCATGCGGCCGACGTAGTTGTAGCGGAACATGAGGCCCCAGATGACGGCGCCGATGTTGCCCCAGGCGCCGACGACGGCGCAGACGCCGCCGATGGCGGAGGGCTCGACGTAGGGCACGATGCCGAAGGACGTGCCCTCGGTGGCCTGGACGAAGAAGGAGAAGGCGACGAGGCAGGGGATGGCCTGGGCGATCTCCGTCTGCTGGGAGAAGACGATGAGCATGACGCCCTCGCAGGTGAGCGCGACGGACTGCGCGAGGATGCGGCCGCGCATGCCCGCGTGCTTCCAGCCGTAGTCGGACATGATGCCGCCGACGGACCGCGCGAAGAGGTTCATCCAGCCGAAGATGGACGCGATGGCGCCCGCGTCGATGACGCCGATGCCGAAGGAGTCGACGGTCGCGAAGTAGAGCGCGGCCGTGTTGTTGATGTGGAGCTCGACGCCGAAGCAGCACGCGTACTGGATCCCGAGGATCCACGAGTTGATGTTGGAGAAGCCGACCTTGGCCGAGTCCTTGGCCGTCTTGCGCTCGAGCACGCCCTCGGCGTAGAGGTAGTTGAGGTCGCCCTGGGGGCTGTCGTCGCCGAGGAGCCACATGCTGACCGCGAGCGTGCCCGTGATGAACGCGGGCACGACGAACGACACGCGCCACGAGGTCTCGGAGCCGAGGCCTACCGTGTTGAAGAAGAAGCCGTAGATGGAGACCATGAGGAGCTGCGTGACGCCGCCGCCGAGGTTGCCCCAGCCCGCGGACGTCGCGTTCGCGACGCCGACGATCTCGTGGCAGAAGAGCTGCGTCGTCCAGAACTGCGTCACGACGAAGGTGCCGCCGCCCATGCCGATGAGGAAGCGCACGATGCCCAACGACCACTGCGAGTTGACGGACATGCCCACGAGCGTCATGACGGAGATCCACGCGAGGAGCACGGACTGGCAGAGCTTCGGGCCGACCTTGTCGCAGAGCGGGCCCACGGCGAAGCGCGTGAGCACCGTCGACGCGACGGAGCAGATGTTGACGGTGAAGACGCCCTTGATGGTCATGCCCAGGTCCGCGCGCACGAGGACCATGAGCGGCGCGAACGCGAACCAGCAGACGAAGGCCAACTGCGCGCGGGGGCGGGGACGCGGTCGCGGGGGGGGCGCGGGAGGCGGGGCCGCGCGGCGGCCGGGGGCGGCGGGGCGGGGCGTCGCGGGGTGCGACGGCGTCGAGGACGGGGCGTCGCGGGGTCGGAGCATCGCGGTCGAGCGTTCCGCGGGGTCGTCGGCCGAGGCGTCAAAGTCGCGGGGGGACGCGGCGCGACGCGCGAAGAAGGAGGACCAGGCGAAGTGGAAGCCGCGCATGTGGGGCCGCTGGAAGCTGAAGAGCTGGATCTCCTTGGCCTTCCACCCCTGGTGCGGGTCGACGGGCATCGAGCCGATCTTCCACGTGCCGGGCGACGTCTCCGTGAACTTGTACTGGGCCTTGGGGTGCTGGACGACGTCGCCGCCCTTGCCGGACTCGAGGGAAGACATGATGAGTGGGTGGTGGTGCGTGTGCGTGTGGTGCCTGCGCGTCGGGGCGATGGATTGAATCGAGACGCGGGAAATTTTTTTTTCGCGATTTCGAGCGACGCTCTCGGATCTTTTTTACTGGGTGGTTCGGCGCGAGGATTGAACCATAGGGGGAGCTCGAGAGCGCAAACGGACGCCGATGGATTGCGGAAGAGCGCGTCAAAGAGCGTCGAGAGGGCGTGTGCTTGGGCAATCGCGTGTTGCCCTTTTTTTTCGGGCGGCAACTCTCGGAGAGAGAGAGAGACCGCCGGGGGTATTTCAAACAGTTTCTACCTCATAAGGCTCTTCTAGTTTCCGTTCGTCCGAAGCACTCCTTTTTCCTCCGGGGGCGTTCGCTAGCAACGAAGAGGCGTGCTGGCGGGCGTGGACGCGGTCCCTGCCGGACGCGCGCGCCGAGCAACCCGAACTCGCGAGGCGCGGCCGCGCGCGCGGAAAGGTCGGTCCGACCGGAGAGGGTCCGAGGACCGACGCGTCGCGAGAGGACGTTTAGGGGCGCCGTGCACGAGCGCGCGCTCGCCCGGGCGAGGTGGAGAAGCGCGCGCGGTACGCGCGGACGACCGCTTCGCGAGATTCCCGTCGCCGAGCAAAACGCTCGCGTTCCGTCCGGGGGTAGGTCGCGGGAGGTCGGATTTCTCTCTCTAGCGCATTCGGCGACCCACCCGACCGACGGCGATCAGGACGTCGCCAGACGCCTCGCCAGGGATTTTGCCTCGCTTCCAAAAGCGGGTTGCCCTTTGTGACCGTCGTGAGTTCACTTGGTGGCGAGACGCTCGCAAGGCCTCGCACCACTGACAAGGCGAGACGAGCGTGACGAACTCAGCGACGCAAGGACGATGGACCCGGAACTACAAGCCAAGAAGCAAGCCTACGAGAAGCGTAAGGCCCGGACCAAGCTCGCCCTCCATCTGCACGATCTGCGGCGCAAAAGGCGCCAAGGCGTGCAAAGGGTGCGGCACGACGGCCTACTGTTCGACGGCCTGTCAACGCATCGATTGGCGCGACCGGGGCCACCGGAAGGTCTGCAAGAAGATCCAGTCCGCGGAGGCGGCTCGGGCGGAAGCGCCGACGCCCCCGCCGTCGCCGCCGCGCGACGTATTCTACGGGCCCGCGCCGCGGTCGGACGCCGACGTAATCCGCGCGCGCATCGCGGCGGAGCACGAAGCGGCGCGGGCGCGGCGCGAGGCGAACCCGGAGCGGGAGCCGCTGTCGGCACGGCTCGGGTCGCGGTGCCCGATCTGCCTCGAGGAGTGGGACGTGAATACTCCAGGCGTGTTTCAGACCTGCTGCTGCCGGAGGGTCTGCCGATCGTGCCAGGACAAGATCGGCTCAGACGCTTGTCCCCTCTGCCGTTTACCGCAAGCAACGAATGCGGAAAGCCTCGCGCGTCTTCGTCGCCATGTGGAGAACGAGGTGCCGGAAGCGATTACGTTTTTGGGAGATGCGTACTGCGAAGGTTGGTACGGCCTCGTGAAATCCGATAAGAAAGCCGCGAAGATTTGGAAGAGCGCCGTAGAGCTCGGGGACGTGGAAGCAATGGCATATCTTGGGGAAATGTACCAGAAGGGGGTGGGCGTTAAGCTGGACAAGAAGAAGGCGGAGCGGCTGTATCGTGCGGCTGCAGATCGAGGCCACGCGGTCGCGCAGAGCAGTTTAGCGTTTTTACTTTATTCTGAGAACAGATTTGAAGAAGCGTTCCGGTACTGCGCGCTCGCGGCGGATCAAGGCCATACACGTGGAGAGCTCAACCTTGGGTTTTGTTACAGGGCCGGATCAGGCACGGAAGTCGACCTCGGCAAAGCCAGATATCTACTGGTTCGCGCGCGCCGCTGCCAAGGGCGACGAGGATGCTATCAAGGCCCTCGCGGCCTTCGACGCGCGAGGTATAGTCTAATTTATCTTTACGCCGCGTCGTCGCCCGAGCCCGAGCGGTATGCCGTCGGCGTGGACGCGCCTCACGCGGTCCTCGACGCGGGTTCGCCGCTCCCCGCCCGCCGCGCCCCGCCCACTAGTAAGGCTCATGCGCTTAGTATAAGATGGGCGGGGCGGAGGCGGGGCGGGGCCCGGCACCTGGCGGGACGCGCGCGGCGCCGGCGCCGCGTCGTGCGTGCACTGCAACGAGAGGTCAAAGGGGCAGCCCCGAAGGCATGGACGACGACGAGGGAGAGGACCCCCTCCCGCGCGACTTCTCCGTCGCCCTCGAGCTCGGCGGCGCGCTCACGAGCGACAACGTCGTCGGCTACTACGTGACGACGACCGTCGGCGGCGCCGTCGCGGGCTGCTGCGTGCGGCGCTTTCGCGAGTTCCGGGCCCTCAAGAAGTCCCTGGACGCGGGCGGCGCCGTCGCCGCGGCCTTCCCCCACCGGACCCTCGCGAGCCCCGGCGGCCGGGCCCTCGCGGCGCGCCTCGACGGCCTCCGCGCGTGGACCGCCGCGGTCGCCGCGGCGCGCGACGCGCTCGACGGGCCATCGCGGCGCCGCGTCGCGGACTTCCTCGGGCTCCGGCCCGGGCGCCCGGCGCCGGAGACGCCGGACAAGGGGCCCCGCGCGTCGCTCGCGTCCGAGCTGTCGACGCCCGGGACGGACGGCTCCGCCGACGCGCGCCGCGACGACGACGACGACGGCGGCGACGCCGCCGCCGCCGCGCGCGACGCGGAGCGCGCGCGCGAGCTCGAGGCGCTGCGGCGGCGCCACGGCGCCGAGGCCGCCGCGCGCGCCGCGGCGGCGACGGCCGAGGCCCGCGCGGTCGCGGCGCTCGCGGCGAGCGAGCGCGCGCTCGACGGCGAGCGGGCCGCGCACGCCGGCGTGATTCAACGTCGCTTCAACGTGAGCGTTCCGCGCGCGCGCGTTCCGGGAAAAGCATCCACGCTTCGAGACCGTTCCGAGAGATGATCGCTCGTCCAAAAATCAGCCCAAACGAGTGGAAACAACCGAGATAGGAGCCTTTGGGAATTTCGCTCTCTTTTCCTGCCCAGGCGCACGCCGCGGAGCTCGCGGCGCTCCGGGCGTCCCTCGGCGAGGCGCGGCGCCAGGCGTTCCTCGCGGAGAGCGGCTGGAGCCGGAGCCTCGCGCGCTGCAGCGACGCGGAGCGCGAGCTGGGCCTCCTCCGGTCCCTGCCGCCGCCGCCGCGCGCGCCGCCGCCGCGGAAGGCCGCCGCCTTCTCCTGCTTTAGTAGCCCCTAGGGTCCGACGCAGGCGGCCTCGACGGGGCCGCGCGCGCGACGGGGGACCCGCGCGCGCCTTACGCCGCCGGAGGCGGGACGGCGGCGATCCGTCGTGCGCCACGGGCGCGCCTTACGCCGCCGGAGGCGGGACGACGGCGATCCGTCGTGCGCCACGGGCGCGCCTTACGCCGCCGGCGGCGCTAGAGCCCGAGGCGCTTGAGCTGGTCCGTGAGGAAGATCGTCGCGGCCACGGGCACGGCGACGCCGACGAGGTTCCGGCCCGCGCCGCGCGCGAGCCAGGCGCCCCGGGGCTCCTGGGCCCGGAGCGACGCGAGCGCGGCGCCGAGGGGCAGGTCCGTCTTGAACATCTCGTTGCGGAGCACGTCCAGCGGGTTCGTGAGCACCGCGCCGGCGACGGCCGCGGCGCAGGCCTTGACCGCGGCGCGCGCGAGCGCGCGCGCCTCGTCGCCGGGCGGCGCCGGCGGCAGCCGCCGCTCCGCGGCGTCCTTGACGAGCACGGCGACGCTGTACTTGGGCACGGTCTTGAGCACGCCCGCGCTGAGGCCGTGCCTGGCGGGAAGAGCGCGCGACGTTCCCGACGTTGGAGGCTCCTCTCTCGGTCATGTTCCACTCGTTTCGGCTGATTTTTGGACGGGCGATGATCTCTCGGAGCGCCCTCGACGCGTGGATGCTTTGCACTGGAACGATCGCGCGCGGAACACTCATCGCCCTTGTCCCGCGCCGAGGCCGCGCCAGAGCCCGCGGACGCCGCGCTCCGCGGCGACGCGCCGCAGCGCGCCGGCGAGCGTGCGCTCCGCGGCGTTCGGGTCCTGCAGGGAGACGCTGCCGCGGATGATGGGCTGGTTCACGCACTGGACGAACGTCGCCGTCGCGAGCGGCGGCAGCGCGACCGCCGCCGTCGTCCCGCGGAACGCCTCCGTCTTCTCGAGCTCCGCGCGGCCGACGTCGCTGCCGTAGAAGATGGCGAAGCGCGCCCAGGTCATGCCCAGCACGACGCTGGCGACGCCCCGGTACGGCGGCCGCAGCGCCGCGGCGTAGGCCGACGCGTAGGAGCCGCCGCGGGGGCCGAAGCCGCTCTGGGCCATGGCCGAGGCCTTCCAGAGCGGAAAGTTGAGCACCGCCGCGCCGCCGCTGCCCAACAGGTACGCCGCCGGCGCGCCGGCGTCGACGCCCATGTCGACGGCCGCTAGGAGTCACGCGCCATCGCGCGATGCGGATCGCACGCGATCCACATTGCGTCACCCCTCTCGGCGGTAACTTGACGTCACATTGCTTTTACGGCGTCGTCGTCGTAGCCGACGTAGCGCCGGTCCAGCGGCGTCAGCGCCGGCGGCGGCGGCGTCGCGTAGCGGCGCTTGACCGCCGCCGGCGTCGCCGCGAAGTCGCCGTGGTTCGCCGTGAGGACGCAGTCGTGCGGGTAGTGCGTCGTCGTGTCGCCGCGCGCCGCGGCGGCCTGGTGAATCCGATGGTTCGTCGCGTGCCCGGTCGACATCTCTCGGAACATCGTCGCGGATGCGGGACGCCGGCGCCGGCCTTGCGCCGCGCGATGACGTCCGGCGAGGCCAGCGACCGGGGCGTGAAGCACACGAGGCACGCCGCGCGCGCGAGCCGCGCGCCCGGGTCGCCCCGCGGCGGCGCCGCGGGCGACGAGCAGTGCACGGTGCGCGAGTCCCAGAGGAGGAGGTCGCCGCGCGCGAGCACGGGCGAGAGCGGCGCGCTGCCCGCGACGAGGTCCGAGTCCCAGGGCACCTGGGCAGGAAACAAAACTTAAAAGTTCGCGTATTCGAACGATTTTGAAACATTTTCGCTGTCTGTCAAGAACTCGACGAGAGAAAACGATCCGTCCAAAAATCAGCCGAATCGACTTCGATGTGACCGAGATAGAGAGGTTTGAAGTTTTGCTGGACCGGTCCATTCCGCTGGTTGATTTGCACACAGCGGGTCACGGGCACGTAGTCGCCGAGCGCGCCGAGGCGGTGGCCGTGGATCCGCGCGAACGCGGCGACGGAGAAGGCCGCGTGCGAGCCCGGGACGAGCGCCGTGCCGCCGCCGTCCGATCCCGCGTGGTCCGCGGCGAGCAGGTTGAGCGCGCCCTGGACCTGTGCGGAAACCAAATATGCAACCCGACTTCGACGTACGCGACGGTGTGGTCCAAACTCTGTGCTTCGGGAACTCGACGATGGCAATCGATTCGTCCCAAAACCAGCCGCAACGACGTCGATTCGACCGAGCTCGAGAGGTTTGAAGTTTCGTCGGGACCCCCTGAACCAGCGGTGGGTCTCCGCGCAGCCCTGGACGCACTCGCGGCCGGGCCGCCGCGCCGGGTGCTGGTCCACGTGCCACCAGTGCGCGCACGTCGGCGCGCCCGGCCGGAAGAGCACGGGGCCGTCGAACCTGCGCGCCGCGGCGGTCCCGGCGGGGGGCGCCGCCGGTCCCGGCGCCGCGCCGCGCGACGCGAGGAGGTCGTCCGTGCGCCAGATCGCGCCAAAGGCCGCGCGGACGGCCGGGAGGCGCCGCGCGGCCCACATGCCGGCGCAGTGGCCCGCGCCGTGGTGCGGGAGGATGCCTGGGGGCGGGACGCGCGATGCGCGGCGCGACGTCGACGTTCCCGCGCGGGAATCGCGCCCGACGCGCCCGCGGCGAGGGGCCAGCGGCCGTCGACCCAGGTCGCCGCGTCGCCGCGGTCGAGGCCCGTGCCCAGGCCCTCGAGCCAGTCCCAGAGCATGCCGAGGATGGC